AGGGAGGCCTGGCATATTGCAGTCCATGGGGTCACTAAGAGTCACATACAACTGAGTAACTGAACTGAAGGAAAATTTCTTTTTTTATAAGAGGATACAGCTCTATCTCATTCATGGGGAAAAGAATTTTTTTTATAAAGAAACCAAGAAAGTTCAATACCAGGTCTAAATATTTTTTCTCCTTATGTGACTCCACATAAGATGGATCCTGAAGTAATAAGACTACCCGTTGAGCCACCACACCGAACAAGCTAGGGCTGGTACTGCAGACTTGGAGTGAACTTTTCTCCATTCCAGCTAGTTCGTGTAGCAACTGCCACATTATTTTAAGATACTCAAAATTTTCATGTTCTCCCCTACCATTTTGGTGCATACCTGCAGGAGCTTCTCCTGATCCTCTACTCTTTCTTAATCTTATCCTAAATCCCACTACATAATCCAACTAAGCATTATCCATACATACACTTGCAGGCTTCTTCTAAAGGCACCTGGTTAGTGTTTGCCAGTCAATACAAAATGAACCACTCACATCAATTCGAGAGATCCATAAAGCTGAAAGTCGTACTGGAGTATTCACTAGTTAGGGCAAGAGTAATGGTACAGTTGAGACAAAACTAATTCACTCAAAGGCTTTAAAGGACTTATTTTCCAGTGTCACTTTTGTTGTAATGCACAACTGCCCCAAATAATACAGGAATCAAAAATTTCCAAAGGGAATGAAGATAATGATATACCAACTCTACAGATAGAATACTCTGCAGTAACATGCATCTGCCATCTACCACTGCCCCCACCCCCGCCCCCAGTTAATGGAATACTCTGCCAACATGTAATTCTTCTTGAATACTTGTTTTTTTCATTCTATTATAAAACTATTTAAGTTTATAAAATGGCCGATTCATGTTGATGTATGGCAAAAACCATCACAATACTGTAATTATCCTCCAATTAAAACAATTAAAAAAATAAAATAAATGGTGAAGCCTTTTATTTAAAATAGCAAAATGCTATATATATATATACATAATATTGTAAAACAATTATCTTCTAATTAAAAGTAAATTTAATCATCAAAAAATGTATTGTCTTAACCTCACAATTGCTCCCTTATGCCCACAATGCACCAACCAACAATCCTTGAAAGTTCTACCTGCAAATCTCTAATCAGATCCACGCCCTCCATTTCCACCTACACTGCCTTGGTTCCAGCTCCCATCTCCCACGTCAACCACTCTAATAGCCTCAAATCAAAAGGTCCTACGTATTCTACCCGACCAACTTCAAACCTCTCCTCCTCTGTGAATATTCCCCAGCTCCCCAGAGTGGGGAGATTCAGTAACTCCAATTTGCTTCACCCAGTAGCTCTTAGTACACACCAGTCTTATAATACTGATTATACTCTACTGCAATGACATCAAATAAAAATACACAAGCCACAGGCATAAGTTTAAATGCTCCAGTAGTGTCATTAAAAAGGCAAAAAGAAATTGCCACCTAGATGCCCATCAGCAGACAAATGGATAAGGAAGCTGTGGTACATATACACCATGGAATATTACTCAGCTATTAAAAAGAGTTCATTTGAATCAGTTCTAATGAGATGGATGAAACTGGAGCCCATTATACAGAGTGAAGTAAGCCAGAAAGATAAACACCAATGCAGTATACTAACACATATATATGGAATTTTAAAAGATGGAAACGATAACCCAATATGCAAAACAGAAAAAGACACACAGATGTATAGAACAGACTTTTGGACTCTGTGGGAGAAGGCGAGGGTGGAATGTTCTGAGAGAACAGCACTGAAACAAGTATACTATCCAGGGTGAAACAGATCACCAGCCCAGGTTGGATGCATGAGACAAGTGCTCAGGGCTGGTGCACTGGGAAGACCCAGAGGGATGGGATGGGGAGGGAGGCGGGAGGGGGGAGCGGGATGGAGAACACATGTAAATCCATGGCTGATTCATGTCAATGTATGGCAAAAACCACTACAATATTGTAAAGTAATTAGCCTCCAACTAATAAAAATAAATGGAAATAAATAAATAAATAAAAAGGCAAAAAGAAATTGGTAATTTTTAACAATATATTTTACTTAACCAGATACATCCAAAATATTATCATGTCAACATGTAATCAACACAAAAAGCAAGATATTCTATAATTTTTCATATTAGTTCTTTGAAATCCAATGTATGTTTTCCCTTTACAGCATATTTTAGACACTAAGTTGTTATTAAAAGTAGTTGATCTGTATTTAGTTGTCATAAAAGTTACAACTGAAAAAAGTAGATTCACATACCCAATTTGTTCCAAATGAACTTGAGAGTTTTATAATAACTGCATCAAATATCTAGTTTATATTTTAAGTTAAAATTAACATTCAAAAATCAGTTCCTCAGTCACACTAGTGGCTAGTGGCTATGAGGTTGGATAGTGTAGCTCTATGGTAATTATTTGCATATACATTTGTCTTTCCCACTAAATCAGACCGTATCTAATTTACCTGTATCGTCCTCAAGCACAGGCTTGGCACATACATAGTGTTTTGTGAAAGTCTGTTGATTAGACAAAGAAAAACAGACATGGAAATCACCTGACTATAGCAACAGTAAATCAAGAAAATCTTTTGTAAGGAACATGAATGGCGGTTTTATGAATATACACACACATACAAGCACAGGCTTGTATTAAAAATAAGTAAGACTAAGTACATTTGAAATTGGTGCAGCCACTATGGAGAACAGTATGAAGGTTCCTCAAAAGACTAAAAATAAAGTTGCCATATGATCCAGCAATTCAGTTCCTGGGCATATATCCAAATGAACTATAATTCAAAAAGATACATGCACCCCAATGTTCATTGCAGCACTATTTACAACAGCCAAGATATAGAAAAAGTGTAAACGTCTATCAAAAGATGAATGGATAAAGAAGTTGTGGTACATATATACAATGGAATGCTACTCAGCCAGAGATTGAAATAATGCCATTTGTAGCAACACGGACAGACCCAGAGATTATCATACTAACTGAAGTAAGTCAGAAAGAAAAAGATAAATATCATATGGTAGCACTTACACGTGGACTCTAAAATATGACACAAATGAACTTATCTGTGAAATAGAAAGACTCACAGCACTTATTTATGAAATAGAAAGACTCATAGAAAGTTTGTCTGGAGAAGAGACTTGTGGTTGCCAGGCATGGGGGTAGGGAGGGAAGGAGCACTGGATAAGGAGTTTGGGATTAGCAGGTGCAAACCCTTATACACGGAATGGATAAACAAGGTCCTACCGTACAGCACAGGGAACTATATTCAATACCCTACAATAAGTCATAATGGAAAATAAAAAAATAGGAATAGAATGCATACAAAGGAAAAAAGGCTAAGTACATTTGATTTGTTACTGATTCCTCCATAACAAAAATCACTTCATATATACTATTCCCCTTTCTGGGCCCTCATGCCTTTTCCTCCTCCCTTTAAAGCGTTCATGGATATTGTACACAATTAGCACTTCATAACAGCTTTGACATTCACTAGTTGCCTTCTTTATGTCTTGCCTTCTCAAATTATATTTCAAACTTCTGGAGATCGAGATCACTCCTTGTACTTTGTAACTATCCTCACCCACGGTTGAATAGCAATAACAAAGTACAAGAATTTAATATATGACATATAATCAATTTTCAGATGCTTTCCTTTTCAGTAAAGTCTTTCCCAATCAATCCTAGAAGCCCAGCCTCTCGGCACTCACATTCATGTCACTGTCTCTGGATACCTGGGACCTGGGACCTACCACATAACCAGTTTTTCTCTAGGTTTTGCATGCTCAACTGCCCTTCTTCCCCAAGGAGATGGGGTGCAATTTCCAGTCTACATCACAATACCTTCATTACCTAGTTGCAGTGCTCTCACTACAGACCGTTCTGTAGGTGCTACCTCCTGTTCCCATTTGCCACCTCCATCTCCCCCTATCAGCCATGGATGCAGCCAAGTGACAGAACAGAATTCTGTAAGGATAGAGGCCACCCTGGTGGCTCAATCAGTAAAGAATCCATCAACAATGCAGGACACTGCCTGCAATGCAGGGGACCAGGTTGCATCCCTGGATTTGGAAGATCCCCTGGAGAAGGAAATGGCAACCCACTCCAGTATTCTTGCCTAGAAAATTCAATGGACGGAGGAGTCTGGCGTGTTACAGTCCATGGGATCCCAAGAGTTGGACACGACTGAGCGACTAAACCACATAAACCATAGAGAGCAGTTTGGCGTTGTTAGCCACATCGCCTGGGCTTCCCCGGTAGCTCACCTGGTGGAGAACCCACCTGCAGTGCAGAAAACCCCAGTTCCATGCCTGGATCGGGATGATAAACTGGAGAAGGGATAGGTTACCCACTCCAGTATTCCTGGGCTTCCCCGGTGGCTCAGATGATAAAGAATCCACCTGCAATGTGGGAGACCTGGGTTCAATCCCTGGGTTGGAAAGATTCCCTGGAGAAGGAAACGGCTTCTACCCACTCCAGTATTCTGGCCTGGAGAATTCCATGGACTGTATAGCCCATGGGTCACAAAGAGTTGGACACAACTGAGCTACTTTCACTTTCACTTTTCAGATGCATCGCCTACTGAAAAGACTGGTGGTGTGGGCATGCTCAGTTGTGTCTGATTGTTTGTGACCCCATTGACTGTAGCCCCCCAGACTCCTCTGTCTATAGGATTTCCCAGGCCAGAATACTGGAGTGGGTTGCCATTCCCTTGCCCAGGGCATCTTCCTGACCCAGGGATTAAACCCACATCTGCTGCATCTACTTGCATTGGTAGGCAAATTCTTTACACTGTGCCACCACCGGGGAAGTTCACTGACAACCCTATAAATCAATGCACACACATACATTTCCATAAAGGGGACTACAACAGGTTTATCTTTTAATTTCATGTTACTTGAGCAAGAACAAAATAAAAATAAATGTAAAGAGGTCTGGGTGGATCAGTCATGGGGCTCCTCTAAGTCTGCGCTCTTTGTCTTCTGCTTGGATAGCTCTTTGATAGCATTCAGCTCTGCAGGAGTGAACTTGGGGGTTAGCACCACTGCATCGTAATCGAATTCTTCATCAAGCGAGAAGGGCTGAACTTCATCTCCAATGATCTATAAAAGGTAACGAAGGAGGAAAATCATATATAATCATTGTAAATGAAGATAAAGCTGAAAACATAAACTCCCTATTAATATTTAATTAAACTTTTTTTAGACTTCAGCACTCTCAGCTGATTAAGCTGTTTTTAAGTAAAGGAATAAATTCAATTATTCAATTTGACCTAATTTAGGCCTTTTAATATGCCCCATTTGTACCATCCTGCATCGGAATGAATATCATTAGCTAATTCCACCCACGGCAAGAATCAGAAAGTCTCTCTTGCACACATTCAATACATTTTTACCATTTGTAGCATAAGGGCTACAGGCATATGGAAAAACTAAGTTTGCTGTTGTTCAGAGGCTAAGTCCTGTCTGACTCAGGGTCTTTTCCGATGAGTTGGCTCTTCACATCAGGGGGCCAAAGTATCTGAGCTTCAGCTTCAGCATCAGTCCTTCCAATGAATATTCAGGGTTGATTTTCCTTAGGATGGACTGGTTTGATCTCCTTGCAGTCCAAGGGACTCAAGAGTTTTCTCCAACACCAAAATTTGAAAGCCTCAGTTCTTCAATGTTCAGCCTTCTTTGTGGTCCAGCTATCACATCCATACATAACTACTGGAAAAACCATAGCTTTGACTCTATACAGACCTTTGTTGGTAAAATGATGTCTCTGCATTTTAACAGTTATATTCAAATGTGAGAAAATAAACCCTAAGATTTTGTTCAATCTTAAAGACATTCTTATTTTTAGTATTTACTAAAAAAGGCTTGTATCAAAAAAAAAAAAACACATTCATTTTTGAAGATAAAAATACTCTATGCTTAACATACTTCTTCAGATAGTACTTGGGCCAGTAACAGCAGGAATTAAAACACATAGTGTCCCCCTTAAATTGAAAAATCCAGGATCCTTTCTTTCCACCAAGAATTTTAAAATATTACAGAATTTATTTGCAACTCAGAGTAGCTACAAAGAGGAATAATAATTTTGTACCTGCTTATTCATAATCTGTGAATTTTAAAAGACTCCCTAAAGGAAGGTAGTTTAAAAAGTGTATTTTCCAATAAACAAAAGAGAATGCTTTAAATCTCATTGTATCACCCCTTAGAAAGCCTCTCCAAAATCAAATGGTGTGTGATACAATGAGATCACCCAGTACTTCTTTGTATCTCTATATGATGATGCTGAAATAATTGAAAACTATGGCTTATGCAAGAGTAAAAAAATGCCCTGAAGCTATAAGCAGCTTGAAATATTCTTGCATGGAAAATGGTCTCATCGAGTGGCTTTCGCAATGTTCCTGAAAATGGAGCATCTCACTCAGAGGCTGTGTGCTGTTTTCAAAGATGCGAAAAAGAAAGAAAAAAACATGAAAAGTAGGTACCTCCTATCTGTTTAGCAAGTTGCATTTTGTAGTTGGATGTGCAGCGCTAATAGCAAACACCGAGCCATCTATCATCCTTTCTTAGTAAAACCAGCAAGAGAACAAATTTCAGATACTTGTTCATTTCCTCTTTATTAGAAAGTGTCTGTGCTTTCCTGACAAATGTAATGATGGCACCTGTGACTGACTGAGTTCCCACCACACACCAGCCCCAGTACTAGGAACTTTGTGGGAATTACCAGTAACCTTCAAACAACCCATCTTACAAAGCTCTAAGAGGTTAAGTAACTTACCCCAGGCTGTATAATTAGTAAGGTAGAGAAGCAAGATTTGAATCCCAGGTGATCTGTAGATAAAGCTTCCACCTTCTCAACAAAAAAACCAGCAAAAATCATCCTTGAAGTTTCACTAAGCCAAATCACGTCTCTTTGGGAGAAAAGATCTTTTCTAAATAAGCTAAAAAATTCGCCTAGTCTACCATAAAAAATGCACTCAAGGATCCACATAATACCATGACTGTCTTTAAAGGAGCAAGTGTATACAGGAATCAAATCAGTCTGCAGAGTGGCTGATCTATCCATTCAGGTCTCTTTCTGAAAATTAAATTTCTCATCACCAGTGGGGTAATAGGGCTAAGACCAGCTCAAGTGAAGAAACGTGTACACAATGACACAAAATGCTCATTTCCTGAATAGAAACATCCTCACCATCTCCAGCTCTATCCGGCAGTGAGCACTGAGGCCTGCAAGCCTGGTCCTGGCAGAGGACGAGGAGGATTCCCCTCTCTGCCTGTGTCTTCTGTCCAATGGGATTCTTACTGCCCTGTAGCCTGGTTAAAGGCCTGCCATCCACATGTCCACCAAGCTTCCAGCTGCCCACCGCACTAGGACTTTGAACCCTGTCCTGAGGCCTCTAAGACTTGCTGAGACTTCACTAGCCATTATCAATAGATGCAGTCACTCTGCCTTCACCCACCTCCCTCTGAGACAGGAAAGCGGGTTCGAATTCCACAAATCTCTTTGCTGAGCTAAAATCTCAGCAAGATCATACCATCCTTCTCGAACTCACTCACACCACCTGAACAGCCCTCACATTCCCACCTCCCTCCCCTTCACATGTTCACTCCATAAACAGCTATTGAGCGTTTAATGTGAACTGGATACTGGGAACACACACAGATGAAGAAAAGCAAAATCTGTGTCCACGAAGTTTTGTAACTTCAGGGAGAAGACAGAAGTAAGGGAGTGATTTCATGATCGTGCTCCATGCTCCCCAACAGAGGGATGCAAAAAGGGGTACACAAGCATGGTGGGCAAAGTGCTGAAGCTTAGCTTACTTCCAACTGAGCATGGCCACACTCCAGAAAATCCTACTCGACTCCCCACTCAACACCCTACTCGCGACCCACCCTGTACCAGCAACCCAGACAGAGCAAGGCTGGTGTAATGAACTTCTAGACTCTCTTGACGAGGGCTGACTCCCACGGTCAAGCTAGTCCTTTCTCCCAGACACGGCCCAGCCCATCACCTTCTCACCACTCTCCCTTCCCCAAGGGTCCCAAGGCACCTTTTGGCCACAACACTCAACATTGTGGAACCGGAGATACAGACATTAATCTTTAAGTGGAAAGTTTTTGTTTTCCGTAAGTTCTTCTTCACACACTTAAAATTTTTCTCTATTATAGAGCACAATTTCCTTCATCAGTTATTTGGTTTTAACTTAAACGGCGCCAAGGAATAAGTTTTTAGCTAGCCAATAAATATATGATGCCAATGCAAGAATTATTCATTTACAGTACACTTAAAAACATAAAAATATATGTAAAAATATAAATGTCTTCACTTAGAAACTCAGTTATTAACAGCAGCTCTTATTGTTAGATTAATTCCTTTAGGCAATCAGTTAAATGCTGACGTAGATAATAAAAGAAAGAAACCAAGGGTGATAATAATTTCTTACTTGCAATGCCAAAATATGATACTCAAGACATTTTAAAACTGGGTGTATCACTGTCACTCAGTACTGCAAGGTGACCAGTACATCTCTGGATCAAAATGTCAGAGGAATAGTCTCCTGCCATAATTTAGATATATTCCATTCTTCTCACAAATGTTTATTAAAATCCAGGTGCTACACTGGGTGCTGAGGATACAAAGCTGCAGACTCGTATGAAATCACAGAGAAATGATTTAGATACATATATGAACAATTATAGTAAAGTGTAGTAAGTATACATGGTATAGTTAGGAGGGAACAGGAAAGAGAAGGAATGCCTAACCCAGCCTAGATTAGAAGACCTTGGGAAGGAATTAGGGGAGGCTTCCTGGAAGAGGTGCTATCTAAGCAGAATCTTCAAAGGTAATATTATTTAACAAAGTTGAGGGAAAATGAGCTAAGGACAAAAGCAGGTCTCATGAGCAGAGGAGGCCAAGTAAGAAAGACACAAAATTTCACGTATGTAGATCTGCAAGTGGTTCAGTGCTGTCAAAGCAGAAAGTGTCAGGTAGAGAGCAGCAGATGAGGATGGTGGCAGATCACGACAGGTCTTGTATGCCATTTTTCCCAGAGGTGAGGAAAAGTCGCTGGAGGATTTTTTTTTTTTAAAGCATGTAGATACTTGGTCATCTATACATTTCAAATAAATTCCTTCCTTCATTCAAATGCTAACTGAGACAAGTGCTGGAGACACAGGAGCGGTGCAGAGAACAGGATACCCTGCCCTCTGCGAGGGTACATCAAGATAAGTCACTCTGGAGATGGAGCAAAGGGCAGGCGTGGAGTCAGGAGCTGGCAGAAGCGGTCCAGACAAGAGACAATGAGCACAGGGCACTGAGAACAGACCCTGGAAAATGTCAGAAAAACTGGCAGCACTTGCTGGCTAATTTGGACACGGGAAGGCACGAAGGACAAGAATGCAGGAGCGGAAGCAGGTAAAGATAAGCTCAGTATTTAACATGCTGATCTGAACGTTCCTTAAGAAATCCAGACAGAACTGTCAACAGGCAGCTGAGCATACAAACCTGCGGCTCAGCAAAAGTCTGAAGCTCTCGAGATACAGGTTTGGAGACAGAAGCACGCGGGGAGCCACCTAGAGATGAAAACGGACCCCTGTGTGCACGTGGGGAGAGCTCAGGTTTAGCATGGGACCTGAGGAACACCAGCTCCTGAGGGGAGCACGGCGGGAAGCCCCCGAAGGAAGCGGGGCAAGAACACCCAGAGAGATACACGGGAGAGAAAGCCAGTGGGCTGCGAGCGTCAGGCAAGATCAGCGGCGAACACCGCGGCAGAGAGGCCCATTAAAGACAGAAAAGTGTCCACTGGCATTCGGCACTAAGAAAGTGCTCGGTCCCTTTATTCTGAATACGTCCAGGCAGTTGATCAGCACAGGGACATTTCGCAATGAACTGAACAAGGAATGAGGGGAAAGGAAGCAGAGACAAATAGGGGAGTTAGATCTAATGGCTTCTGAAGTCTACATAGAAAGTGAGAAAAAAGGACAATAGCCAAGAGGGGTCCAAGGGAAAGCGTAGGCTATTTTTCCTTAGTTTTCTTTCATTTTGGTAAGAATGGGAGTCTTAGACGTGTTTACATGTTGAGGGGAATGAACCAATAGAAAAGGAAAAAGAGAATGACCCTAACCATCTTATTATACCAGAAAGTCACTCCCGGTAGCTAGTAAAAGTTTTTTTGATTATTTGCTCATTCAGTATTTACTATGTCTTCTATAGGCATAGCACTGAATTCAGCACAAGTTCTAACTTTTTTGTATTTCAGTTAAGTAACCTTATACAGACACACACAAGTGAATGTAGAGTCTTCTAAGACAAGGGCATACATATAATTCAAAGTGAACCCTAATGTACCCTGCAGTTCCGAAGACTTCGCTATGATCTTCAAAATGACAGCTTTTCAGCCACAGGAAAGCTGCAGTTCTATTTATGCATTTCAGCTGTTGGCTACTGTGGCACACTTTGGGAATTCTCTTCTTTCAAGTTGGGTTCATTTTCGGGTTCTAAGCTAATAAGGCTCCGAGGTTTTTAGATTGCAAACTGAACTTCTGATTTATTTCAAAGAGCAGAATTTGTGCAATGGGACACCAAATCCCCTGCTACTAAACAGAAAACAACTGTGAATTAAGTTATTAACTTGTTATTTTTGCCTAAGGAGCTGAGAGAAATGTATGGATTTCAGGTGTCTAATTTCAAATCTAATTGAAATCTTTTTGTAGCCTCCCAGGGAATAGAATTTGTACACTATTAGAAAACTGCTGGTTTTCTTAAGATAGTTTTTGTGACTTATTCTAAGAGGGGCACTGTTACAGGAAGAATCATTTTCATTCACAGTACCACATAGGCAAATTAAAGAAAATAAAACTAATGCTCAAATCAATAATAGCATTTAGCTATAGGCTATCTTGCACAGTAATATGGTAACTAAACTGTCTTTACAGGTGAAAAAGTTGAGAGTCCTATTTTGAATTGGAAAAACAGGCCATCTCCCATTAAAATATTACAAAAGTTTCTTCAATGACCTCTTCTGTACTTTGGGAAGTAGGAAAGGAACTCGTAATTTTTTCATCTTCTTAATGTGAATTCTTTTTGTTCTATAAAGCTGTCCAGAACGTCTAAAATTCATCAAAATAGAGTGACCACAGCAAAAATTATTCACAAAGGGAAAGTGGAAGGTTCTTGAAAAATGTTTGACTGTAAGGGGGAAATGCACATGTATAAAAGCAGTGATAAAATTAGCAAAAAAATTAAATGGGTTCAGTTGATATCAAGAAGTTATAGATTCTTATTAGGCAATTAAGAGGAAGTCAGGACATCCAGGATACATTTTCATCTTTTGAGACTGACATCACAGAAAGCAACCACTGTCTCAAGCCCAAAACAGCTCCTTGGTAGCTCCTCACCAGATACATGTGCTGGAATTTGATTCTGTTCTTTTTCTTGCACTGGGTACTTCAGAATAAGATTAATACTATTAAACCAAGGCAGAGGTGGTGCAGTACTATGATTCTAGACAGTCCTGAAATGTTTCTCTAATGCATAGTGGCTAGAAATTAAAATCTCACCCACAATACTACTCTGAATATTTAAAGAAACACCAAAAATTATTCATCTACGTCTCATTAGTTTGCCAACACGAAAATTGTTCTATCATTTTGATTTGAACATTTAAAATTTTTTCACATTTTCTAAGAAGAAACTTATACTCGTTTTAAAGATACAATCATATATAGGCTTTTAACTAGCATTTTGCTGGCTATATGAGAGATCATAGAAATCATTCATTTTTTTAAACCCACTCACTAAAGCCATTTTGTAACAATTTCTATAATGGCATGAGGTGCCACTGACCACTGGCTGGCCCAACAATTTGTATGGTCACAAGTGAAGTCTTTAAAAGAAGCTGATTCTTGCTAGCAATCACCTTGGAATTTTAGCTTATTAATACTCAGAGAAAGCTCCGTAATTCAAAAAGACACTGAAAAGTGGCTGTCTCGACCCCATGGACCGTAGCCCAGCAGGCTCCTTTGTCCATGGGGTTTTCCAGGCAAGAACACTGGAGTGGGTTGCCATTTCCTTCTCCAAGTAACCTACTTGGGGGTTCAATATAAGTCTGCAAGCCTCCTAGACAGACTTTTCTGATGTCAGTGAACAAAGTTCTATTAGCAAAGGGCAAAAATTGAAATGTGTGGATTACTTCTGATTGAATGACTGCTTCTATAACAGAATATCTTCAGGTGACAAGACTGGTACCTGAACGATTAAATAATCAGGAAACACTCTAGTGTTTTTATTTGGAATCAATAATAAAGAGCCCTTAACAACTTCTTGTACCTGATCCCCTTTTATGCTAGCATAAAAAAGGTGATAAAGGTCACTACCCAGCACCATCAGCGGCCTCGGCTGGCGCGTGTCTGTTAAGTAAATGAAGATGAGCTGGAAATGATAGTAAAAGACGCCTCTCCATGTTGTGTATTAGGGAGAATTAACAGGTGGCACATTCCATTCTCCCATGCTGGAGAAGCACATGGCTAGATGACATTTCTCAACTCCCCTGGTGACCAGATAGGAACATGGAATCAAGTGGTTGCCAATGGAGAGTGAGCAGCAATGAAGAGCCTGAGTCTTCAGCCTCGGGGAAACGCGCTGTCCCCACCTTCTCATTTCCTGCCCCTCCAGGTACGAGAGTGACCTGACCTGAAACATGCAGCTGAACACAATGTCCTGAGGGGCAGTGAGATCCAGAGAGAAGGAACCTGGTGGGCCCCAATGACTGAAAACAGAACTACCACTTGCTCACTTTAAAGACTCTATAGACTGTTACAGGAGAGAAATAAACTACTCTCTCCTTTTAGCCACTGAATTATTGTTAGGGTTCCCTAGTATAGCAGCCTGGCCTTACCTTAACTAATGCAAAATGTTTACAGAACCTTGGAAACAATAATAAAGAGAAAAGAGGCTGGTACAGAAAAAAAAAGAGATAAGAAATCTGTCCATCCTATCTGTGGATTAGTCCCCAGGTAGCACCATCCTGCAGCATGGCAAACATCATGATATAAAAATAGTTTCTAAGTAAAAACATAACTGTTCTCTGTGTGTTCAAAAGGGAGTATACACATTAGAGAGAGATGACAGCGAGAGGGACCCAATTAAGCAACCTGAATTCTACATTTTCCCAGATCTGAGAAAAATACAGGCGCACACGGGTATGGTGGCATTTCTCTGAAAGGACCAGTTATAGAGTCAAGGCAATTTCAAGAGGCCTGAATTCCCTGAGAAGTACCTCTTCCCTTTGTTTGTCTGCTCCTTTCACGGTGGGCCCGGGCTTCGTTCCAGGGGTGAGAGGCTGGCCGGCCACAGAAGGAATGTAAGAGGGAACACTCAAGCTCACTTCCTGCTCCACTTGTCCTGGAAGCAGCAGCACGTCTGTTGAACACAAAATACATCATTCGATCCCTTCACCGGTCCACAATCGACCTAAATCATCAAAAAGCCTACGATAGTCAAAAGAATGAGCAAATATGCTCAAGTAAAGTAGGCCCATTTCACAACACCTGTTCTCACTGGGGAACTTGACTCAAGGGGTCTCCCTTCTAGAAAATAAAAGCTGTTGGTGTATTAGTTTTTCTCCGATTGTTGCTATGTTAACAATCCATCCAAAAGGTCTGGGAGAAATGTTGTCTGGGGAACAGCTTGATCATGCCTTTCAACCCAACTTCTACTTCTATAGGAAACTAAGTTCAAAAGATGTTACTTTTGCCTCATTTTGCCATATTTTCCTAAGGGGGGAAAGAGAAAGAAAATGGAGTGCTGATTTCATCCTGTAACAATATGGCAATATTTCAAAACAACATATTAAAAAACAATGATGCCAGAAGGAAGGAACTTTCACTTGCAGCAGAAAAATGAAATAATCCGTCATACTCAGAATGCGTGGCCTCATTTCCAACTCTTGCAAACAACAACAATGTGTTTTGTGTTTCCAGCTTGTTTAGCACAACAGCAAGAATTCAAAAGCCAATCCTGGTTTTCTGATCAATCCATTAGAAGTAGATGTGTTCCCTTTTTTTTTTTTTTTTTTGCACATGTGGCAGAATCATGGATGCATCATGGACAAATGATGATCTTCCACAGCTCTCTCTGAAGACAGAAAAACAAATAGAAGCCCAAAAGGATTGCTCCTTGGCCTGTTTCTGCAGGACCAGAAGGGCTGCTGGAGCCAGCCAGTAACTTGCAGCTGGCACGGGATGCTGCGGTCTGCTACTCAATGATGATCCTAATTAAGACACTAATTAAGTTCTCAGTGGAAGTGATTAATTAACAACAGGCATGCCTTGGCTGTTGCCAATGGCAGCATATATGATGTGATAACTGAGCAGGTACTGCTATTCAAAAACTGAAACAGATTTGAAAGACATCTCTCTCCACCGCAGATACCACCTGGAAGCTTAAGAATTTTGTAATCATGTCTTTTTTGATCCCTGAGTGAGGAAGATCCCCTGGAGGAGGAAATGGCAACCCACTGCAGTACCCTTGCCGGGAAAATCCCATGGACAGAGGAACCTGGCAGGCTACAGTCTATGGGGTTGCAGACTCAGACACAAGTTAGAGACTGAGCATGCATGCATGACTATGATTAATTACTGAAATCGTAGAATGTGACCTGATTAATTAGGGGATATAAAAACAATAATAATAGCCAGCCTTTTGCATGCATTAACTCAGCTAATCCTCTCAACAACTCCATTATCTCCTGTTTTACAGGCAAGGAGCTTTAACACCCAGAATCACCACACTCAAGTCGCCACAGCTGCAGTCTGGCTGCAGTGCCCTGTTCTGAGCCCAAGACGTCACATCAGAAACTGATTTTTAAGAAAGCATTTTCATCACTTATGTTATTGAAACCTACCAGACTTGTATATCCAAACTCAGGGCTAAGAAATGTCACTATGGTAAGCATGTTAACGTGATTAGTCAGCAGTCAGTGTTCACGTGTTTTATAACCAGAGAAGTAATACTTTTAAATACTCAATAACGTTGGTGGAGAGACTGGCTTTCCCTTTATGAGTCCAAAGCTAAATTCCTTCACTGGCTAGGGGCCAGCCAACAACAGAGGCAAGGAGAGTAAGGGTCAAGCCTCTTAATATGAAAACCAATATCCACCAGACCCACTGGCTGCCAGAGCAAACATCACTTCAAATGTGAAATCAAAATCAATTCTGCTTTCAGAGCTATTTAAGATCCAACTGAAAATATCGTGCACCAAGAAACACAACTCTGCATTCCTTTGCTGAAATTCTTCACGTCACTCATATATTTGCAAAGAAGGTAGGGTTTTCAGCAATAATGGTTTCCTTCCTTAAAAAGCCAACTGCCATGGGAACAGTTCTTTCGAAACAAGACGACTCGGTATTTACCACATTTCACATTCCTGTCATTTGTTTCTGCAGGGTAAAAGGAAAACACTCAAACTTGCATAGTTGTTGGAGTCTAACACAGCACCTTATGTGTAGTAAATTCAACGCATACTTGCAGAAAGGGAATAGATTTCCTGTATCTCAACTTTTAAACTGAACAGCATGTATAAGTCTACCTATCCATAGAACATTGTGAATGATACAAAATATGTAAAGTCCTTAGCCTCAAAAGCTAAGTTTTTTTAACAGGGATATGATTTTTACACATAAAATCAGAGAATAGTCAACACAAAAACTGAAGTGTTTTAACTCTAAATAGGATAGATTTATAAAACGGTGAAACTATTATGGACAGGAACAGTCTGATAATAAGTAAGTTATAAAGAAAGCTACCTTGTCCTTTAGCCATTTTACAGTCACTGATGGGTTATTTATATATTCATTCTCTGAGAGGGAAAATTATTGTGTTCATTGATGATGAGGAATGGAATTTCTGGAGATCTCTGTAAAGCTTTCTACACTGAAATCTGATCTTAAAGACACTTTTGCTGTTGTTGTTTAGTCACTAAGTTGTGTCCACTCTTTGCAACCTATGGACCAGGCTTCCTTGTCCTTTACTATTTCCCAGGGCTTGCTCAGTCTAGGCTTATTGTTTCTAAAACAATTAGTTTTTTCTTAACTATTGATCAATACCACCATCTTGACTGATGGACTTTGTCGAGTTAAGGCAACTCTCAAAAAGGAATTTTCTCATGCATTCCTTGGAAAATCTGAACAAAATGAGAACTCACTACCGTCTCCTCATCGAAACTGAGGTCCAGCACGTTAAAAAAAAAAAAAAAAAAAAGGAATTTTCATGTTGGATGGCAAGGCTGGTTGAAAGCATTTCAATATCTTTCTCAACTATATAGTAAGAATGTCCAGTGTTTATAAATTATCTGTTTGTGCCATCTGCCTTTCTGTATTTAAGCAATGACCAGCAAGTCAAAGGTAATACATTTAAAAGTAAGCAATCAAAAAAACAAAAAAATAAGGTAATCTATCTGACATCTGATAATCTAGACAACAATAATACTTAATCTGCCTATCATATTTATAAGATCAACCAATTCATTCCTTTGTTGCCATGTAGAAATAGCCAAAATTTCCTGAAATTTTGGGCACTCCTCAGGACCAAAAAGGATACACATAAGAAATGGACTGAGGCCTCTTATGCACATGGATTCCAGCTATGATAGTTTATGTCTGAGTTTCTTGTTATTAAAAATTTTTGAAGACCCAAAGAGCTTTTTTTTGTGGGAGTTATATCTAACAATATTCACTGTATTAGAAACTGAATTTTCAAATATTTGATTTCAAATTATTAAAATAATACAATCATTATTAAAATAAATACTTTTATTTTAAAAAGATATTTTCCAAAAGCAAAGATAACAGAAGAGAAGCATTGTTTTACATTTTCTGAATCTTTTAAGTGCTTGTCTTAAGAAGAAGAAAGCTGGATTCTATATTTGTTTCTGCATTCAATTTTTGGAATATGCTGTTTCACATGATGAAAATGAAGAAATTCTAGTCTCACACGATATATATGTTGGAAAGGGGAGGAGTACTTTAATACTCTTTTTATAAAGTTGGGGATATTCTTTGATACACACTGGATCTTGACAAATGATATTGGTTTTAAAAATATTTTCAATGTGCAACATGAAACCCTTTCAGTCAAGTTTTCATGCTCTTATGTTTAAAATTCATTGGTCTGCCTTTTATGGTAAATGAATCATTCTCCTGTGCATGATTTTGTAACACCATAAATCGGTTATTTGGAAAATGGTGGTTCACTCTGTTAGGCAGATCTTTCAAATGTTGACATATTTCATTATGCAATATAAAAGTCACATTAGTTAACATTACCAATTTTATCAAAAAAGCCTTTAAATATTGAGAAGCTGTCAAGCTCACAGTACTGGATATAAGTTTTCCAAAAATCCAATTTTCACTTGATCCATTGCCAACTTTATCACTGGCAATGAACACTATCAGTTGTTTGTCTTGAAAAGACAGCTTCACTTCATTCACTTTTGAGAACTACACTTTGTCAGTCATTCTTTCAAGTAAAAATGTTGATCCATGAAAGAAAAAAAAAATTAATTCGGCACAACACTCAACGGCACAAGTGTTTTTCATGAAAAAGTGTTTTTCATTTTTTCCGTGAAAAAATGCTCATGTATTTCATGTATATGTGAAGTACAACTGCTATACTTCAGTATGCAGCAGAAGCACTTTATACAGCAAAACGTTAAAAAGAGGCATGCTCAGGGATCAAGATGAATAAAATTAATAGTTTTTACTACTTCCCTGGTGGCTGAGATGGTAAAGAATCTGCCTGCAATGTGGAAGACGGGGGTTAGATCCCTGGGTCAGGACGATCCCCTGAAGAAGGGAATGGCAACCCACTCCAGTATTCTTGCCTGGAGAATTCCACGGACAGAGGAGCCTGGAGGGCTACAGTCCATGTGGTCACAAAGAACTGGACATGTCTGAGCACACCCCACACAAACACCATTTCATCAAAGACATTTTCAACGGAAACTGGCATCTGTTTTAACTACAAACTCATGACAGTGATGAGAACAGGGACTACTTGTATAATTTCGTGCCTCTACCTAGATTCACACTAAGGTACTACTATCTTTACCCATCACTGATTTTGCAACATCAGTGCAAACGTCAACATATCTAACCTTCAGACCTTGGGGTTTCCCAAGGAGCTCCCAGACCACATTTAACATCTGACCCTCGTCAGATAGTCTGAACCTTCCACCAAGAACACTGGAACAGCTGGAAAAGTGATAAAAATCAACTAGTTAAAGGCACTGGAGAGCTACCAGGGAAGTCCAGAACTTGAGGGGCTAAGATCCTGGAGAGAAGGAAAGTGCTGATTGTGAGTCTTAGATTCTAAGCTGTTCTTCAACACATGGCATTTGCTGATTTGTAAGCAGAGGCTAAAAA